TTTTGACTTTTATATATAACAACTACTTTTACTTAATAAAAAATGACCAAAAATCGATTTGTTCCCAAAATAAGCTACTTCGGAAATTTTTGTGTAATTTTTGGCCCAAAAATGGTAGCTTATTTTGGAGAAAATACGGTATACAATAAGAGTACATATAACCACACATGCATCTTTTGAGTGCCTAATTTAAGTAGTCCGCCTAAAGGTTCTACACTATCTGCCGTACCTGCATCCCAACTAGAAGAGTACTTATTTAAACCCTCTGATCATATCCTTACTTCTACTGTGTAGGACTTAAGACCTGAATATCATGCGCTCATCAGAGCATCATGGATCTATGCGACACCACTAGATTAATAGCCAGACTTAGAACAGGACCATATGTCCTGATTTATCCTCGAAGCAAACCTGCCAGAGTAGTACATTCCTATATATGTATTCACCTAAACTTCACACTAGTCGGAATATAGCAAATCGTGTACAATCGGCCGTATCTATTGATACCCAATTTTTAAATTCAATAGCCCGATTTATGCCAATTTATAGCGCAAATTGGCACAAAATCATGATATTAATCGGAATGAAGTTTATAGTGCTTGGCATAGTCAAGTGACCACTATAGAGATGTTAAAAGTTCAACTTGACTTCAAAAGTCGGGTCTTCATTTAAAGTTCAGTTTCAAGTCAGACTTGGAACTTGACTCGCATTTTTATGTGCAACTTGTATATTTAAATATAGATTTTTTTAGCACTATATTTAAAATATACAAGTTGTATGTGAAAATGCGAGTCGAGTTGCTTGAGTTTTGGAGTCGAGTCAAACAGAACCAAACTTTAACATCCTATTATCGCTACCAAGATCAGGTACGTACGTGTATATACGTATATAAGTCCAGAGCTTAAATTTATTTGCCAAATAAGTTTTTATTTGCAGATCATATTACAAATCAGTTGATTTATATTAATTTTTTTTTTTTTTTTTTGAGTTACTTTTGTTTTGCACTTGACTAAAACCGATTATTGCTAACGACCACCAAAGAATAATTTTTTCTATCTAAAAAGATTAGAGGTAGTGCTGTAGTGAATGCTGAAAATCTCAAGCAACGCTTATTATTTAACTTTGAGCAGAAAATGTAACAGTAGGTATATGAGTGTTGTTGCTATTTGAAGCATTATCTTTGAGACGTTTTTCTTTTTCCTTTTCTTTGAAAGCCTTTTTTGCCCAACTACTGAATTTAAAGGTGTTGGGATATTGGTAGTCTAGATAACCCGTCGTATTACTAGGTAACAATGATGTAGCTGTAGGCAGCTTATTTTAATCTAACAGAAATCTAATCGCTGTAGTTGATTGTAGGCCAGTTACTCTTGTTTATGAAGAAATAGAAAACTTAAAAGATACAAAATTACAAACAGATCGAACTACTGATTTTAATACCTTAAGAGATCAAATATTATAGAGTTTAACAGAAAACTTTTCTATATTTTTAAACAGGTTCTAAATTTCTGTTAGTGGTATTAATTCAATAGATAGTTTATATCTAATTATCTAATTAATTTTTGATAAACTATAGTATTAAAAGACTAAGCAAATGATTACTTGCCGCAAAGTCAACTAATCCAGATGCATCATTAATATTTGATAAAGACGATGTCAATGACATAGACTTTGTAATAGCAACGTGTAATTTATTTGTTGCTCGACGAACAGAAAAATCTAATTCTTGATCATCATTTGATAATTGTTGAAGATCCACCATAAGTGATTTTTGTGTTAATAGTCCTTCATCGATATCACCGGAATGCAATGGAGGTAAGTTTCAGTTAAAGAAAAATAATATTTGTAACTTTTTTTTCATAAAACCAGAATTTGTCTAATATATAAAGAAAGGATATCTCCTGAAAAGCCATAATTATCTTGTAAATATTTTATTTTTTTAAAATATGTAGCCTCTGATCTTGAAGTTGTTTTAAATAGTTCTGTTCTGGTGCCAAATATTCTGATTCATTGTATAAAATAATAATTTATTAAATGTATCAAGTGCAAATAATAAAATTACGAATTTAATTACTAACCAATATGTGAGGAATCATCTAGATTATTCTTTTTTCTTATCAACTTAAAATCAATAGTTTTCTAAATCATCTAGTATATGCATAACAATCTGACTGAATATAGAAAGGCAATAAGTAAATGCGAGAATTAGTTAAAAACTGCCAAAACTTATGGTATATTCTGTATTCAGATTCTTTGTATTGTCTTTGACAATGTAATTCTTGATATCATTTCTGTGATGATTATCTCTGAACGTTTTTGCCATTTCTTGTCAATTTCATCCATACATGATATTTAATCAGGATGAACTCCTATTAAAAATGATTATTAATTAATAATATGAAGATAAATAATGCGAATATGTATTTATAAACATAAGTATTTGATAATTTATTATGACAAAATAAAGGGTATCATCGAACTTTGTTTTATTTCCGCAATTTCTTTATCAAGCTCTTGAATTTGTTCACGATATAGCCTAATAAAAATTAAAAAAAGGTAAAATTATTACTTTAATTATTTAAAGTAATAACTATTCATTAATACATATACTGGTCTCTCAGCTGTACAAAATCTCTTTTAATCATTTTTAGATCTTCTTGGACTTCAACCCGAGGTTGAATTGGTGATGGTGTTGACATTTGTGATGAAGAATAATCTCTCATAATAGTTGATATCTTTTTAAGCAAGCCACTAACTCCACTTCTATCCAGCCATTTTTGTCGCATCTTTGAAATCAATTCATCCAATATTTTCCACGCAAATATACAGACATCCGCAGAAGTTGAAATAATGTGTTCACAGTCTGAAGTAAACTTTACTCGAATACTTTTATCTGACCCGCCAGTTACAGTATGTACGCCGCTAGGGTCCAAAGAAATTCTGAGTAAGCTTCCTTAATCTGTAGTATTGACTTCTTTAGTTGTATCAGATTTGTATGAATGCTCATTTTTACCTGTATCAATATGATAAACATTTAGTCTACACTCCCCTGATACTGTAGCTATATACCGATTTGATATATATAATATGTAAATAAAATAATTAAATTAACTTAAATTAAAAAATAATATAACAATGTATAGGCATTTAATTTAAATTAATATATAAACATCTATAGGATTTGATAAAGCTAATAAAGATATCGCTCATATTAAATTGTATTCATACTCACCAGGCATTCATCTGTTAGTAAATTCAATTGTCAAGATCTCTGCATAATGTGCTTCCTAATATGTAATCTCTTTAAAAGTATTAAGATCATGTACCCTAAATAAAATGGATAAACCTATTTAGTATGTTTCAACAGAAAAGCGCTTATTATTTATACTTAAAAAATACCTTAAATTTCTACCACGATCTTCAGATGCCATCAGTTTTCCATCAGGACTAATTTTTAGAGTACAGATTCCTGATTCCACGGCAGAAGAACTAAGCTGTTCTGTTAAATCTGTAATACAGAATATATAATTAACAGGATAAAAATATTTTTACAAAGATTCTTTAAACTTTTGAACTACCCACTAAATTTATCATTTTTTGTTTCTAAAGCGCTTGAGAACCACATCCTTTGGGTGTGGATTTAACTCTACAGGCAGAATCAACATATTATGGAACTGGTGATCTGAATGAAACATACCCGGATACAACAGCTATAAAATTTGATGTGGAAACAACATGTATATATAGTGATCGTTGTCTTTTTATATAGGATATAAAAGACATAAAAAAAATTGAAAAATATAGAAGCTTTCTATACCATTGTGATACTATTTAGGGTGTTGTAATGGCTTTTATATGTCTTATTTAAGACATACCATCTTTAGATAATATCACCTCATGATTCTGCGGATGACGCATATTCGTTTTCAAAAAATACTTTCATTGGTAAAGTACCCATATAATCCAGTGTTATTGGTTCAAACAACCTAAAAGAGTTAATTATATTAAAAATATATAAATATCTGTAATCAAATACTTAGAATAGGCGCTTTTGACCTGCAATATTATAATAAAAAGACATTTACAAAAAATAAGATATCAGTGTAAATACTAAGTATAAATAAGAAATATACATATATATATTATCATTATTCTTTAAATGTTAAAGGTCACAGGTTTAGGCCGCAGATAAGTTACTAGGTACACTTAGTTTCTAGGTTTTCTTAGCTATATGTCTGGGTTCTTATTCTTAGCACTAGGCTTAAAATATAAAACCTTTTTCAGTCATGTAAAAAGTTTTCATTAAGTTTAATAAAGATAAGAGCAAGGTCTCACCTTAAATATTAAAAAAAAAAAAAAAAATGTTAAAGGTCACAAATCTGCAAATTAATCCATTTGTCTATTATCTACCTTCTGTGAATATACATAACAATCCGAAATAAGTGTGATCTGATTTCTGACAACATGCAGCATCGAGAAAATTGTTATCTCTTAAATTGTCTAGAATACCAGATCACCCATCAAGTACTTGTGCAGTTTTTTGTATTGATTGTTCCTGAATTGACAATTTTTTAAAAAAAATTTTAAAATAACGTATTACTTTATGTTTAAACAAAAATGAGTAAACCTACTGTAGCTTTTTTTGGTAATTTTTTATTAAAATCGAAATACCAGAACTTCACATGCCTCAAGCCAGCTATTACAAAAAAAGAACTAGTCCTATTAAACACTAAAGTGTGAACTTGTAGTGATTTTGTTGTAAGACTAATTTTACGTCTAACCACAGCGCAAATACCATTCAGGTTTTTTTTCATTAAAGTTTTAAAATATTTTGTATCAGTAAATGTAGTTCTGAAAGTGACAGAGCTTTTCAATACATCCAAATTTTTGAAAGTGGTTAAGAATTTGATTTATAAAGATATGCTAACAACTAAGTGTTTGGCAACTTTTGAAATAATAGACCTAAAATTTTTTTTCAAATATTTTCAGCGAAGATGCTTTGAAAGTATGTTTAATAATATTTATATTAGTTATCTAATTTTAAATTTCGTATATATGCTGAAATCTCAAACTTAATCGAATCAGCTGTAAGATAAAAACTAAACTGCTTTTCAGACAATTTCCAGACTAGGTGCTAGTGTGAAAGTACTGTAAAAAAATTTTATTACAGAGTTCACTAGTGTGTAGTTAAAATAGAGTTGGTTTCATTGGGATTATAATAAGTTATTGAATGAAGTTCTATTACAGAATTTATTTGCTTATATCATATAGCGATAAATGGATAATGAATCATTTGCATAGTGATCTTTGATGATTTGGTAAATTATGTAATCAATTTGCTAAAATCAGATTATTCCTATTGTATGCTGATTTGCGCCATCAATTGACATTAATTGGGATTGTCTGTTTTATTAACTTGCACAAATCAGGTTGCTGCATCATTTTGCATTAATCGGCAATATGGCGAATTTACAATTTAATATCAATCGGGCATAAATCAGTTTAAAATAAGACATATGCCCGATTTTTCATATTCCGACTAGTGTCAGTAACTTACATCATGCCTTAATTCATGTACTTGGGGTTAGGGTAGTGTTCCTATTGAACCTAGGTTCAAAGTTCATGAACATATTCAAAGTTTTGAATAAAGAAAAAAGCATATAATTGCAAAGATAAAAATACTTATATCTCATGATCTACTAGACCAATTTTAACATTTTAACCATCATTCTGTTTCCAAGACACTCCTCTACAACTTTACTTAAGTGTTGAAAAGAGGTTTACTTAGTAAAG